GATATATACATAATTTCATAAAACAAACATACTCAATAATTAACATAAATAACATTCTAAATGAATAATAATTTAAAGAGATCCATACATATTTAAATATTTGAAATTAATAAAATTCATTTTGTACACATACACATAAATCGTATTGGTTGTTTGGTAAATAATTTAATAGTATTGGTTGTTTTAAATAATTTAATCAAATACAATGAAAAACTCGTTAGACTCTTAGAAGATGTATACATCTTCTTAAAAACGCAACCTTTTTGACAGAAAAAGGGGGGATCAGAGGATCGCTTAAAACCCGATTTTCCCAGAGAATGAGAGGATCATGATAATCGCTTAAAATCCCATTTCCTTAGACATGCATCTCTTTATAAAGAGTCGAAGTATGTGGCGTTATGTATTCGATTAAATTATTGAAAACAACCAATACGATTAAAAATGATCAAATTTATTTTATATTCCACTAAGTACATTAGCAAAATAAAAGAAAGAAATATGATGAAGAATTGTATGTACCTCGTGATCGTTCGAAACATCTCTTGAACGATGGTTCGGTTGGTCGTACAAGTCGGTTGGATCAATAGGTCCTTGATCAATATAATACCGTTGGTTGTATATATTCAAGTCGTCCCCAACCTACGAGAGAATAACAATAAGGTTAGTACATAGATTAACTAAAAATGTTATAACAATAACAAAAATTTGGTAAAATGAGTACGTACCGCTTGAAATTCATCATAATAAACTCCCTCTTCTTGGAACCACTCATCTATTTTTTCGCGAAAGTCGGACAGAGATTCGGCGGGTTTTGAAGGAAAAACCAAAGAAAAGTTTTCTGATGGCAGGTCGGACTTAGCCGCAACCAACACACCACTATTTCCTAGGCTTTTGGGAGGGGAGGTGGATGGATAGAGAGCTAATTTTAGAGAGAGAGTGAAGAATGGGTTGTGGTGTGAAAAAATGAGGGGGGGGGGGAGGGGGATATTTATACTTGCAGACCGCACCCTCCAGGGGCAGTTTAGTAATTTTTCCCTTGCCAAAACCGCATCTGGAGGGTGCGGTTCACGGAATCCGAGGCGCAAAAACGCACCAGAAGGATGCGGTCTTTAATCCTCTACACGGATCGCTGAGGTGGTGTGTGGTCTGCCGTTGGATCGCCGCCAAATCCAATGGTCTTGGGGGCCGCTGCGTCGGAAATTAAAACCGCACGCTGACGATGCGGTCTTCTCGCTGACGTGGCAAGGACCGCACCCCCAAGGTGTGTTTTCAAAATAAAACATTCGGTGAAGGTGCGTTTTATCTAGAAAACGCACCTTGGAGGTGCAGTTTGAAAATAAGGGTGCTATTTTTGTAATTTCTATGTGCTGGGTGCTATTTTTGTATTTTTTTTAAAGGGTGCTATTATTGGAAAAATCCCTCTTTCTGCCCAATCAATTAACCAACATGCCAAAGAACTTTGCTTGTTTTGGTCTTTGAAATAGCCTTGGCATTAGGGCGGATCAAGGAGAGATTCATAGCGTCTTATCCCCGTTCGTTAACCCTCGCGGATTTCCTCGAACCTAGACTCGGAAGCTAGAGCCTATACGAGGAGTTAATTACGGATGGCAAAGGGTCATGTTTGGGGCGAATACCCCTAAACCCCTGCCCTGCCTTCTAACCCATCGCCCTACCCTGCGACCCATAACGGATCGTTGTTTTCTTACCCAGGTTGTGCCCTGCACGTGGCGGGTAAAACTCGTCATGCCCCATTTTAATTTACCAACATGTAATATCATTAACGCATCATATACCAGGCCTACACCCTACCCCATTTTTTCCCCAACCTTTGATTTTGCATAATCATTCATAATGTAGCTGCTTAACTTGTAATATAACATATAATCCATAAAGAAAATTCCAAATTCCATTCGTCATAAACCAAAATCAACTCTCAAACCTCCTCTAAGATCTGAAATCCGAATAAAAAAGAGGTTGCATAAACCATAAGAATTCATAAGAACATTGGAAGTTGATTAGTTGAAAAATCGGGAAAGTTCAAACTTCCTTCTGACTTGCAGCAGCCAACAAGCCTTCCTAAGTCCTAGAGCAGCAAACAAATCCTCTATAGCCTCCCTTAACTTTAAGTATCATTAACCTGCAATTTATATACATAAAACATGAACAAGGCAAACACTGATGTAAGATTGTAAGTGCAATTGAAAAGGAAACATCCAAACATTCATGGAGCATCCAAATACTATTGCAATTGAGAAGTAAAATGCCATGGAATCAATACCTCGAGATCATTCTTTTCCTCTCCATCAGAATCCTCAAGTATGGTACCATGTGAGTCCTTATCTACAGTGGAACCAGCTGCATTTATATATAAAACAGTTAGAAAGAGTCCTAAATCATGTATATGTGAAGGAAAAAATATTTAGAATTATGATAGTGACTACTTTTAGCTACAAAAGTAGCACACATCAACCATTCTATAGTATATGGATCCAGCCTACTTCGATGAGAAGAAATTACCCTAGCACTGGTGCTAAAAGCACACTTTGATGCCACTATAGAGATAAGAATAGAAAAAATGTCCCTTGCAACCTTATGTAATATATTATATTTACTTCTATTTTACTTCCACCAACAAAAACATCAAAATTGGGTGTGTATGATTCCATCTTCCAAGTAGCAATCCAGCTTTGATCTAGTTGGCTTCCTTTTTCCTTCTAGAAGCATATAGAGCAAATTTGGTTGATGATTCCTTTTGAATTGCAACAGCTCCTGAACTGCCCATTTGAACTCCATCATTTACTTTATCTTGCTCTTTTTTCTTCTCTTTGTAGTCTTCAACCAACTTACGACATATACTAAATTAACTTCTCCATATGACATTTACTATCCTCAACATCAATCTCAGGAAAGTAGCAATCCATTACATTAGTTTTATACCTTGGATCAAGTATAGCTGCAACTCTCATTAAATAATGCACCTCGGACCAATACTTGTCAAACTTTTCCAACATGTTCATTATCATAGTCTCAATGATTTCAGTTCCACAAGCACACCACTATCCTAAAGCAATCTTAAGCTCACAAATAACTTCAAAACATAAGTTGGCAGTCGGATATTAGTGCCAAAAAAAGTTCAGTGGCACTATAAAACTTCTTTACCTTACTACAAATCTCTTCTATCAACTTCCAATCACCCTCAGTAGGCAAGCACTTGTACTTTGGTTCCCGATTTCTTAACCGATTAAAAACTTCTTTATACCCTAAATCAGTCTTCAGCATCATATAAGTTGAATTCCATCTAATGTCACAGTCAAGTATAAGTTTCTTACCACATTGATTACGAATCCCACGTGCAGCTTCAAGCAGGTGGGTCTCCACAAACTTTTCCCATCTCTTAGGTGTCGCCAGCCATAAATTAACATTCTCTCTAATTCTGTCTATACCATCTCCAATTACCTTAAGACCTTATTTGACAACAAGATTTAATATGTGTGCACAACACCCCATATGAATCATACTTCCATTGTCCAAGAGAGACTCTAAAGGATGTTTCTCGATCAGTCGATTCATCATTGCGTCATTAGTCGAGCAGTTATCAACTGTGACAGCTAATAATCTATGGTCGAGGTTCCATTCTAGTAAACAATTAAACAAATACTCACAAAGGACTTCACTAGTGTGAGGGGTAGGTACATAAATGAACCTGTAAATCAAAGATGACACAACTTAATTAAACTTAAACAGCAGTAACAAGTAATCACATACGGAGAGTGGGTAGTAGTAATCAGAAGGCAACAATACAACTAATCGCATTAGAAGGCAACAATACATGTTCTGGGTACATGTTCTCCTTAGTAATCAAAAGGCAGTAAGCAAAAGTAGTATTTCACAAGTAATCACATACTGGGCATTAGTAATCACAAGGCAGCAGTACAAGTAATCACATCACATCTCTTTATACATACTGTAATGCAAGACAGTAGTACTCGCATACTGTAATAAGGGAAGTAAGTACTAGCTAGCTAATTACATCACAAGTATAAGTTATCACATACGGCAAAACTTAAATAGCAGCGCAAGTAATCACAATTAAATACTAGCTAGCTAATCACAAGTAATATGATATTTACTCATAGCATTAAGTAGGTACTAGCTACAGAAGCAAATTGTGAATCTGCTGCAATACAAGTAATCACAAGTAAAAATCATAAGCCGGAAGAGCATCAGACTTACATAAGAACACTTTTTCCCTTCTTCCCTATCTTTTACTTGCTAGTTGATTTGAAATTAGTTTAGCAAGAGCATCTGACTTATTGACTTATTGACCTCAATGTTGCCTTTGATTTTTTTTAATTCAAATAAGACCATCTTTAAGTAATCAACACAAGGCAACAATCACGTGTTGTAATAAGGGAAGTAAGTACTAGCTAGCTATGAAAACCAAAATATACCTGATAATTCGACATTGTAAAGTTCAATCATTATCGATATAGTATGTAGTCATTGCCATGAAACCCTTCTTCTGAGAATATGTCCACATATCTGTGGTTATTGACACTCTAGCAAGGTTGTCAAACCGGTTTATGCCGTTACGCCGGTTTTGTAAGCGAAATGGTTCGACCGTGGTACAACCGGTATGTATGCCGGTTTATGCCGGTTTCAGTAATTAAATAGGAAAAATAAGATTATATAAAAATAAATAAAACAAACAAACTATAAAAATAAAAAACCAAAAAAGGGAGAGATTTTTGTCTCTTGTACGTACTACCCTTCTCCCAAAATCCCCCAGTAGCCTTTCTCCAACCCTAGCCGCTCCTCTCCCCTATCCTTCTCATTCCTTTTCCTCAGCCGTCGTCCAAACATAGAATCAAAAGGGGAAATATCCTTCCTCTCTCTTCTCAATTGATTTGCTCTCTGTCTATTCCTTGTCCTCTCCGATGAAATAAACATAGAAGGGAAAATATGCTTCCTCCACAGCCGTTCGAACCCAGAGGTAGTAGGCGGGGCAGTTGAGGATTTTGCAGAGGACGACGGAGTATGTCTCCAGAATTCAGATACTGGCACTTAACATTCCGGTTGAACCGTCGGAATTCTCGGTTTTGACCGGTGTTGACCGGTATTGACCGTAGTTGACCACAACAAAATACCGGTGGTATTCCAGCCGGTTTCATGACCGGCACCGGTTGGACCTGGTTCAACCGGCCGGCATACCACCGGTTTGACAACTATGCACTCTAGCTTCGTTCTTCCTCAAAAGCTCCATTGAATCATAAATGCCAACAAAATCTTGTTTATGGTGTTTGGACATACCATCTTAAAGCATGGATTCAAACTCATGGTGTAACTCCTAAAACCTTCATGCTCCACGATCGAGAGAGGGTACTCATGCCTTATAATTTCCTTAGCCAGTTCTTTTCTAGAGTTCTCTTGACTAAAGTTGAATGGCGTCAACTGAAATTTATCCTTATTCCGATTTTCTTGCAATAGTGGTTGTTTTATATCTCCAGGCCGCTTCACCTTAGGACACTGATAGTAATGATTCTTCATATGAGTTATTCCTTGTGATAGGTATCCAACTAGATTCTTCTTGCAATACTTACACTCGGCTTTTGGCTTGACATCCACGGTTACCTTGTTGTAGTGTTTCCACCACTCCGAGAATACCTTACTAGACGTAGGACCAAGTGGGGCTTCATCAACAACATGAATAACATCATATTGAGGGACTTGAGCCAGATCAGGTTGAGGTTGGGAAGCTATTGCCTCCACATTCAGAACAATAGATTCATTTTGAGGCCCCTCCATGTCCTGTACAATTTGAGGTCCTTCTTTGTCCATTCCTAATTGCAAGATGGGCAGGGTTCAATTAGCTAATATGAGTAATTCAATTTTTCATAAGTAGAACATTAAGACAGCAAACTACGAAACTAAATTGACTATACAAAAGCTGTAAACCATAGATGATTTAAATATTACGACTCAGTGAAGACTAAACTTGGTTAAAAGGAATAAAGGATCATTCCCAAAGATATGGTTGTTGACCCAATCCACCTCTCCTACGTGTATGAAACTGAATGCATCAACTCAACAAAAAGTGTATCAAGCACTGATATGTTAATGATCATAACGACCATTTTCCAGCAGCCAAACAAAACTCACCACAATTGTGGTGAGCTAGAGAGTTGTGTGCGAAGAAGCTCTTGTGTTCAAGGAAACAGGCGGCATTTGTCTGCTTTGGCAGCTTCTTTGTTGGGATGCTCTTCACGAATAGGTGACTTAACTAAATCTTTTGGTTTCGCTCTATGCATTTTGATTGAGCTACAATGGAGATGGTATAATTGCTCATGTTCCCATTTCTCTAGGCGATTGAACGAATCTAACTTTGATCTAGTTGAGGAAGGATTTTGTAATTCATACCAATAATTCTAGTGATTTGAAGAGCATAAAGTTGGTGAAAAACTAGTTCGTTACAATTTTGCAGCATCCAAACAAAACTCACCACAATTTTGCAATTGAAATAGACCAAAGAAAAGTAGATAAATTGGCGAAGAAGGATTTATATTTACCTCACCACTGTAATTGTTGTGGACCTCCTTGCCAGAAAGTCGAAATATGTGAGCTTTCCTGCCTTCTTCTATTTACCTTCCAATGGCATTGTCGAAACTCGGAAGAAGAGAAAGAAAAGAAAATAGAGAAGAGGAAGAAGAAAGGCTTAGTTATTGAGAGCCCTTCATCTTCAATTCAATCCTCGATAAAGCCATAAAGGGGAGTTGTGAATTGGGGAAGGAGATGAATCGTTAAAGGCACAAGGGTTGGGACGGTGGGATTGGGTTGATGGTTTTGCGGAGAGAAACCTCTGTGGGAAGATTAGTCGCTTGGGGGTGGGTGTGGATATCAGGGGTGGAGCCAGAATTTAGAATTCGGGGGACCGAGTTTACTATATGTTAATGCAAAAACTAAAAACTTATTACTACCCAAAATATTTTAAAAAGATAATTTTATTTTATTATAAAAAAAATTCACATTAAATTCATTATAAATAGAAAATTAATATAGAATTTTACTATTGTGTTGCACGTTATGTTTCCACAACTACAAAATGAATGTATACCAATATTAGCGCATAGAAAAAATTATTCATTATATAACCGAAAGTATCATTATAACGAAAAAAATTATTGAATTAAGAAATTAACAAAGCAAAATATGAAAGTTAATTGATTCACTTAATTTGTTTAGTCAAATGAAGTAAAATAAAAATTATAAATATTCATCATGTATCTCAATGTGTCACTTAATAATCTTTTTTAAAATAAACTGTTTGATTGAAACTTAAATTGATTACTTATTTGATGTATACTTAAATTATCTATTTACCTAATAACGCCTTGCCATAAAAGAGAAAATGGAACCTATAGTTAATTGATGCGGCTGCATAAAAGTAGGGCTGTTAGCGGTGCGGTTTCGGTTTTAACCGAACCACAAACGCGGTTAACCGCCGCCGAGAAGTATCGGAAAATCACAACCGCCACCGACACCCATTGCCTTGTCGGTTAGCCCAAAACCGCCATCGACGGTTTCGGGTCGGTGTCGCAGTTAGCTGAAACCGACGAGATCGCAGGGCGAGGGAGGACGAAGGCAGGTGGTGGCGTGGTACGACGATCGCGACGACCGATGAAGAGGCTACGGTCGATGATTACTGGGACTGGGAGCAGGAGGACGAAGGCGGCGGTGGGGACGCCAGGCCGGGTGATGATGACGGCTGGCGGCGGGGCGGCGGGGAGTGTAAGGGTTCAGAACTCGGGAGGGAAGCAGCGGGTGGATTATTTTGGGGAAAACCTGGCTTGTTTGGGGGAAGAGACGAATGAAGGTGGTAGCAGCCAATGGGTTATTTTCACTAAAAGCAAGGGGCAATTTAGTCATTTTTCGGGCTAAGGGTAATGGGGTATATAGTCTCTCTTAATCAACCCTAAGCGCCGCAGCCGGCCGCTCACCCTTCTTCAACCTTACCTTCTTCCTCGTCTCTCTTCTGTTCTTCATCCCAAGAAAAAAATATGAACAAACCCTCTTACCCTATCTCGCCAATCTCATCTTCTCTGAAACTTTTCGATCTGCCTCTTCGTTTTTCCTTCTCTTCCATCTCGATCCAACTTTGATTGTCCCCAGTGCCGATCCGTTCCGCCAACTCCCTCTCTCGCTCTCTTTTCTTTCTAAGAGATTGCGGGGCGACGACGGTTTGCGGTTAACCGCCATGGTTGCGGTTATTCACCGATAACCGCCGGTTATGCATATTCCTCAAAAACAGCAACCGACGCCGACACCGCACGCATATAATCGGTTTACGGTTAATTGATTAACCAACTTTTCGGTGCGGTTTTTCGGTTAAACCACATAACCGGCCACCGATTAACACCCCTACATAAAAGTGTAAAGAAATTGTATAGAAAAAGTAGGCAATCACCTTCTGTCTGGGAGCAAACTCGTGACCCAGGGATAAATAAACAGACTTTCTTCCGCTCAACCAAATAATATTCCATGATTTTAACTTGCACGAGTCTCATATTACGTGACTTTCGAGATCCCGTGGCAAATAGTTGTAATTCATGCATAATAAGCCGAACTATTATTACGTGACTTTTGAGATTATCGGGGAGGCTCCGACGCCTGCTGTAGCTCCGCCCCTGGTGGATGTCTCTCTTTGACTTCACAGATGCTTAATCAACGAGGCAGAGCAGGTCAGGCGTCAAGATCCATATCTGACCTGTTTAAACAGTGGACCGGGTCAAGATCCGCCTCGTTCAAATACGGGTCGGATTTTATCTGCCCCATTGCAGGTCGGATCGGATAAAATCCACTAGGGCGGATCTGGTTTGTCATTCCTAGAGGTAATTGCTTCTGTGACAGTCAACTAATGAATTCGGATAATCACGGATCCCCGTTATCCTATAGAAACTTTAAATAAATAATATAATAAATAAGTATATTACTAAAAAACCTCAAATTCATTGAAATTGAAACAAAATTCACCAAGTCATTCAGATTCATTAAAAAACAACTTGATTCGGGCTCAAATGCACACATTTTACCCCTCATTTCTTATTCGTTTAGCTTAGTATTTCATCGTTCCTCGACATATTTCACGTTAGGTTGTGCTTGTTTTGATACATTTCAGATCCTAGCACGTGTGGAAGGGCGGAGGACGAGTTTTGGGATATTTGGAGGTCAAAAAGTGCCAAAAACGAAGAAAAGTCCGAATTCGTAGTAGTGAAGTGAAGGCGTCCTAGGAAACAGTCGCAGTTCACGGCCGAACAAGGCAGTTTATGGTCTCCTAAGACCGTGAACATGGACCACAAACCGTGAACATCGAGCAGTCCAGCGAGGTTCATGAAGTTACTGACGACAAGGCAATTCACGGTCTCTAAGACCGTGAACTGGGGCCATTGACCGTGAACCCAAACGAGTGAAGCGGTGCATTTTGGACGACGCTGAGTACACGGACGCGTTTAGGAGTTCACGGCCGTGAACTGGCCAACGCGTTCGTGAACTGGTCACTTTCGGGCAAATATGAAGACAACATCGGGGAGAGAGAAAGGAGAGCTGGTTTTTGGAGAAGAAACACTTTCTTTCTCTAGGGTTTCAACCTAAACACCAAAAGGGAGTTCTAGTGTGTGTGTGTGTGAGAGAGAGAGAGAGAGAGAGAGAGAGAGAGAGAGAGAGAGAGTGCTAGAGTGATCTTGGAGCATCATTGGAGGCTTGGGTGGAAGATTCAAGCCAAGAAGAAGAAGATCTTGAGCTCAAATTTGTGATCCCTCTCTCTCTCTCTAGAAACTCACTCTTTTATCTTGGTTGTTGTAGATCGCTAACTAATACTTTGTAATGACTTGTTTAGATTGAATGATTGTCATTGGGTAGTGATTAATTCAAGATTTGAGGTATTATTCATGTCGATTGTGCATGCTCGTGCTTAGCAATCTAAGGGTTGTGCATGTTTGTGCTTAGCATCCTTAGGTTTGTGCATTGCGGTGCTTAGCAACCTGAGGATTGTGCATGATTGTGCTTAGCACCCTTAGGTTTGTGCATGTTGGTGCTAGATATCTAATTAGCCACTTTAACCTAGGTTAATTTAGGCCAAACCTCAATGTTGAATTAAGCAAATTGGTTAAACGTGATTAAGCCGTCCAACCTTGAGTGGAGTGAGGGATTAAGTCAACTACCGATTGTCTAAACCGAGAGGGTTGAGTGACACAGGCTTTCATGCTTTCCTCTGTTTAGCAATTGAGATTGTGGTCTCCGGCCACATATGCATCCCTCTACGGTACGCGATTACCAGTTTGCATCTAGGTTGGCTGTGATTAAGCCATTCAAACTCCGGTTGAGGGAGAGACCTAGGAAACCACTAGATCCTGAGTGAGAGGATCGATCCCGTGACAAATTGATCCCTAGAGAATCCATCCCGTCACAAATGGATCGCTAGTTGCTCCTCCTAGCGGTTCCCCTAGACTTGGTGAGTGGATCGATCTCGGGACAAATCGATCACTAGTGAATTGATGTCGTGACAGATTGATCACTAGTTGCTCACCCCCGAGGTTCACAACCACCTAAGCCTCACGACTTCATTCAATCCAAGTAGTCATGGTAGCTAGTTAGGGGGAAGCAACTCCTGGGTGAAGCTCCCTTAGTTAGGATTTTCCTTTATTTACTTTTCCTTGCTAGTTTAGTGTGTACTTTTCTTAGTTCTAAACCCAAAAGTTGTTTGCTAGATAAAAACCTAAGCGAATGAAGTAGGGGTATATGGACTGACCCAGGTTGACAATTTAAATACTTGCTCTATACTGCACCCGACTAGAGTTTAAAAACTTGGGCTCTAGTCGGGATTAATTTGTGGTGTAGTTTCATATGAGTCACAACTTAATTGCAAGCCTGCAACCCATATCCCACCTATAAATAGCAAAGAAAATAAGTCAATAACCATTGTTCAAAAATCAAATTTGAAACAAAACTATAGCTAATTATATGGTATCAAACAAGCAACAACCAAACTTCCAATATCCATCAAACAGACTTCCAGTCCCATCACATTCGTTCACTACAAGAAACAAATGAGATGGGAAAATATGAGGAAACGAACACATGCTCAAAATTTGTTATCAATTACTCATGAAAATTCTCTAAATGAACACATTAGTTTGATAGTCTTTCATATATTTTCTTATAATGTTTCAAATTTTAATACTCAGTCATTTAAGGAGAATGGTGATTTCAGCATCTCAAGTTCATGAGCTGCAATTCATAAAGCTTTAATAAGTTATGCAGTTCAATGTTCATAACGATATTTAATTGAATCTAACTCCAAGTACCAGCTAACTTAGTAATTAACCCACCATTTACTTGATCTTCAAAAGTTGAATCCTAAATTGTCAGACCGGCAAATACTCATTCCATTTCCTCTATAACAGCCTCTAATTCTGCAAAAATAAAGTAAATTGTTAAATGAGTAAATAGTTGAACTGATAGTAGGAAATAACACATGTATATTGTTAGTTAACTCTTTGCAAGTCTTGCATGATCCAACTGCAGGCACGCATCATGGCCTCCACAATAGAGTAGTGCAGCCTGCTCAGGTAAGAGTCTAATAATCTCCCGCCAGAGCTGATGTTATTGGTATAGACAAAAAGTCCCTTGCAATTGCTTGCAAAGTGGGATACTTAAGGCCATTTAATTTCCACCACATCAATAGATCAAATTCAGTAGATCGAATACAAGGAAGAAGTTCCTCAGCAAGATAATGGTCCAACTCAGTAGTAATTAGAGTTGTTTTGCTCTTTTTCCTGTGACTTACAAACAACTC